TTCGTCTGATGCATCTTCCCCGTTCTCCACATCAGAGAACGACACTAAAACACTAAGAGAAGAGTGTGTCCAGCACATCGCTGACAGAAATGGGAATTTCAAGCTTGAGGTCTAATCCAGTCAGATCACCTCTCGATGGATCATCAGCAACATTAGCTGTTGAAGGCACTCGTTCGTACCAGCAAACCGAGCCAGTGTCTTGTTCCCAGTTTAGGACAGATTGGAAGATACAGTTGTCAATCTCCCCACCTCCTTTGCCAGAGACAAGTCTGCTTAAGACTGCATTGTTGTCGACAAAGATCACTATGCGATCGTTCGACCTCACTCCCTCAGGCGGTAGTAAGCATGTCGTGCCAACAAGAACCGCAAGGGCCTCCAACTCAAAAATGATGGTCTCCTTCTTGAGCGGGTTCAGCATTGAAACTTGTTTGGTGTCAACGACCGAGGAGAAGAAGGAAAGAATTGTTCCATGCTGGTCAACCAACACTCCCCCAAGTCCTCCTGTTCCATTCTCAAAACAAGCATCAGTATACAAATGAAAGACCCGACCAGTGTCCGCAAGAACTTGTCTGGGCCCTCCAAGAACAATTCTGTCCCTGAGGAAAGTCAGGCTTGCGCAGAGATCGTTATCGACACGAGATTCACCAACTGCATGCTCCCACCTGCTAAGTTGTTGCATGTGGATGCCCGCAAGACGGCCGAAGATCTGGGCCTCTGCAAACACCAAGCGTCCCCTCAACACCCTCATCTCGGCAGCCGACAAGGTGCGTCTGTTGAGAATGTCGTCAATTGTGTTCACAAGCTCCTTGACCCTCGACTCTACGTTGCAGACTGTAAAGGACCCTAGGAGTGACTCGCTAAGGTCTATCTGTACCCCCAAAATTCGGGCAATCGCCCCAAACTGTGCTTCCTTTTCAGACGATACTTCCCAGCCAACCAGTTTGAAGAAAGCCTGTTGTGTTAGTTCAACATGTCTTGACTCCTGGTCAGACGCGATCAGGTAGAAGTCGTCAAAGAAGACCGTCCAGTGCAGTCTAAAGAGTTTCACGCCCATCCTCCACAACGCGTGAGACACTCTGATTTTTGGTTCCTGCTGTCCAGGGTCTTGCTTTGCATCCAGGGTTTTGGCTGCATGGCAGCATTGCTGCAGAAGCAGTAGCAAAAATATGTAGCTAAATGGCTACCTGGCTCAGTAGCTGGACCAGTGCTCTTGTTGATCAAGGTGCTTGCACAACTTGAGCCAAGAAACGCTATTGGAATTGCATCATACACTCTCTTGCAATCATGCTCCCTAGCAGCTACAACGGGCATGCCCATCAGGCAAGGCCACAATGCTTCACTATAGAAATGTTTCAAACTGACTTCGAATAATGTTGGGCGCCCAGCCAGTTTGCAAAGCAGTAGGCTTGAGTTTTTCCAAAGCACGAGGCTTGGGCCATATAATATAATATAATATATATATATACACTCTATATATATATATATTATTACATATATATATATATATATAACATAACATAACATAACATAACACAACACAACACAACACAACATAACATAACATAACATACATTCATACATACATACATATATATATATATGTGTGTGTGTGTCATATTTATGCCATAACTAGATACTAAGTGTTTAACAATTTTTTTGGGGGTGAGTTTCACCTCATTCAAGACCTGTGGGGCCCTACGGTTTTTCCTCAGTTCACTTCTATTTTTTGGAGTTCCGCCCCCCCAACAAATCAAAAATTAACAAGTAACCTCATGATATACTAAATATCTAGTTGGGTTTGCCAGCATCTCCCGCAACGCTGGTTCCACGCGTGATGTTCTCGAAGACCTCCTGCCAGAGGTCGGGGTTCCAAGTTGGGAAAAAAAACAAAAAACGGTGGGTGAATCACTGCATAGCTATGTGCGGCTATGTGATGCTACGTGTTTTAGATTTTTTTATTGGGGTTGTATGGGGTTGTCGCTAATATTCGAAATCTCGTATCCCCTCCCCAAACGAAAACATGGAAACCACATGAAATGATTGATGACTCGAGTCCTTGAGGGGTGAAGGTGTATCGAAAGTAGCCTCAGAAAACATATGACATGTACATATGTACACATGGTGTTTATGCTGCAGCACTGCACCAAGTGTATGGTTTGCTGAAGTTTGCACTGTATGTCGCTGACAAGTAGCTGACTGCGAAAAACGATTTCATTTCACGCGTTTTTTTCTCGCTAGGATCCGCTAAATGTTTCACTTTGGATTCTTCAGTTTGAAGATAACTGTGACCTCTTGTTGGTCCCACACATCAAAGCATTGCGCCCGGGCAAGCCAATCTGGTTGGGTTTCCAAAGTGCACTCCCGAACCAGGTAAATTGTTTCTTCGTTAGAAACCACGGTGTCGCCAGGCATCTTATGCACAAAATAGTTGTACATCCACAAAAGCAAACTGGGGATTCGAAAATCCTCTGCAGCGCTCACTGGTTTCATTTCAGAAGTATGTCCTGAAACATTGGTCGTCGAGAAAATGTAACCTTCTGGTGGTTCGCCACTGCTATACCACTTCACTCCTTGGCAGTAGAGCTGTGGTTTTGTGGTTTGGTTTTTTTCCAGAAACTGATGGTGGCAGTAGAAGACGAATAAAACTGTAGTTGAATGCAACATGTTTGAAGTCAGGTTTCCCATCATCTCTTGGTCCAAGTCTTTGCAAGAAGCCATCGCATGTGGATATTCGGCACTGCACATTTGATTTCAAATCTTGCAGCAACGTTTAAAGTTTGCAAGATAATGAACCAACCTCTAAACATCATCAACGTTTCAAAGTTGAGTAGTAAGTCAATACCAGGGCAACAATTCTAAGCAGCTGCAAGTGGATTTTGGCTGGCAGAGATTCCGAAAATTCGGATTTGATCTAAATTGCCTTTGGCATTTCGCTATCAGGCTTCACCATCGCTTGCATCTCAAAACTCGGACGTCGAAGGCAGGATTGGGGTTGGCCTGCACACAAAAACGGAATTTCAGATTGACCTGGACTGTTTGGATTTGCAATGATTTGCACATGTGTCCAAATTGCATGTTGCTTTTTTTTAAAACCTATATAATCCCATAAAAAAAAATCATATACCACCCCTATGGATCCCTATGGCCTAGTCCACATCTTCGCCATCTCCCAACATTTCTGCGTCCTCTTCCAAAAGCTCTTCCTCCTCTGCCTCCTGATCATTCGCCTCATCGCAGGCATCAGATGGTTTGGGTAACCCAGCTTCGACCGGTGGTGGTGGGGCCGAAAACTTCTCGATCGCAGCATTGCGCATAGATTCCTTAGAAATCCAATGCAATCGGAATTGAACCCAATAATGAAATGTGATATTCAATTCATAAAGCATCCCATTGAATCCCATTGGAATTAATTTGACATGCAACGGAATTGACATGGAAGTGATTTGAGGGATCCAAGGGGGAATGAAATGGAACTGAACAAAAGTAGTGGGAGCTGTCAGTTGGAATTTGGCTCAACTGCAATGAAAATCATGAGCTCTCTTGGAGGTATCCCTGTGGTTTCATGGTTTCCCCGCTAGATGTACTACCACGATGATTCAAAGCTCAAGGAAAGAATCATGTATTTGCCATCTCGGTTTTCCATGGAAATAGTTGGAGACATGCTTGGATGTGGAAAAGACTTGGACAAAAAACTGATCATAGATGATCATAGATATCATAGTGCAATCTAAAGATCATACAAAGTTTTGGCAGCAGCCACATCTCCTTTGGTGCGGATCAGCTCTTGCTTGGTAGCTTCCTGAAGGCAAAGTCTTGCATGGTTTCAGTTTTACTGTTTGACAAGACCTTGGATACAGACCCCTGACAAGAAAATGTCCTAGAGGGGTGTGACATCAAAAACATGAATCCAAACCAACTCTATTTGAGGCATGTGACGGCAATGTTCTCAATCTCTCCGCTCGGCACAGCAGGATGTGGTTTCACCTGAAAGGACAGTTCAGACAATAAACAAACTGCAGATGCAGCACACAAGAATTAAAACTCAAGACACGCAAGACGCACATTCATATATGTTTATATGCAGATTGCACATGTACAAGATGCAGCCAAAAAACTCGCACCACTTCCTTCCCAGAAAGTTTGATACACCAAACGCCATTCTTCTTGTACATGGACTTTCCAGCACTGACATGGTCTGGATCCTTTTGCTTTGAAGCCGGCCGTTTCATGGCCGATCCAGCACTTCCACTAGCCGAAGCAGGCCGCTTCAACCCCTTCGCTTTGGGGACCCCCTTTGGTTTCGGTTGGCTCTTGGTAGCTGCTTTCGGGGACGCTTCACTTTTGGGAACTGCTTTTGGTTTGGCCACTGTTTTGGCCTTGGCCTTGGCCTTGGGCGCTGGGGCTGCAGCTGCATTGGCTAGTTGCTGGAGACCAGCACTGGGAGATAAGGCTATGGTGGTTTCATCATCCGATAGAGCATCCACAGAATCCAATGCCATGGCAATGGATATACAGTAAGTCCCGTGGAATCTCTAACTCTAAGCTCGCTCTTGATGTGTAATGTTTCACAATTTAAATATTTGCTGGTGCACATGTCCACAAGTGTCATTGCAAGACCGACTGTTGGACATGACATTGAACTTAGTTTTTTGGTGCAGTTCCAAGCATACAAATCTCTGCAGGTGCTTGGATGCGTGGCGAAAGAATCCCGTCGAGTCCGTTTGGGAGCTCAGCAAAACAGTTGCCATTACACGGCCGGAAGCATCAGTAAATGCCAGTTGCAACACTTTTTCAAAGTTTTTGACTTTCAAGATTATATGGGTTCAACCAAGGGCCGCATGGTGGCACTGTACCCTCTCAAAATTGAGCAATCGAACTCCGTTTCAAGTTCACACCATGTTCACAGCTACTTCAATTTCACAGCCATGTTGGCCTTGACCGTGGTCGAACACATCAGCCAATATTTTGGCTTCGCCGGAGTGATTACTGCCGGAATGGCATCAGATATCTTCACCTCCCAGAATATGGTATGATGGGATGATCCTAAAGAAACATTGTACACCACATTGACAATTATGAAACCTGGCCTCCCAGATGACACCAACGTTCGGGGAGCGCAGCAAAGTGTTGTAGGATGAAAAGCATCCACCCAACTGAGAGTATCGGACATCCAACTTGTTGTCATCGATGGGCTTCGGTTTGAACGCATTGGTCTTGGCCCTGCCAGTGATGTCATATCGAAATTGCAGCACCTTTGTCTCATTGTTGGGGCCCACCACCTGTGCAGGGTAACGCAATTTGTTTCATGATTCAAAACCAACGGAAATGGGAAACCCGGCTAGAAATTGTCCAACCAAACCAAGCCTGAGTTTTTGGGTTCATGTCGTGGTCCACCATTGCAGCCTCTGTTGCGCCCTGGTTTCGAGTGATTGAACAAACCGTTTCGGCAATGGTGAACAGTTTCTTCTCCATTCCGGCATTGCCTGGACTGCACAAGCACACGACATCCAAGTCCGAGGTGATGGACCATCCAATGGCATCCACCAACGAGGTCGCTTCTCCTGCGGATGGGAAAGGAATTGGAGAATATAATGTAGGTTATGTGAGAAAATGTGGCTGGGATAAATTTAGGATAGTATGGGATAAGTTTAATAAATAGTATTGGTATGGGATAAGGTTTGGATAGTATGTTAAATATGGGATAAGTTTTGGATAGTATGGGATAACTTTTGGATAGTATGGGATAAGTTTTGGATATAGTATATGGGCAAATCTTGGGCATGTGGATAGTATGGCCATAGCTTGGGAATGTTGAAAGTTTCACAGGGTCCTGCAGGGACTTCAACAAAGGTCCCCACATTAAAGCCGAAGAGCTCTCTGGCCGGCACATCAATGTTGTCCCTGGACTCATTGAGAAGCCACCAAGAGCCATCATTCTCAGTCTTGCCAATCTTCAGCACTGAGTTTGCCAAAGTGGCTGAGCAATGCAGCCTGCAGATTTGGTTGCAACAAAGTTTATACCACATTTTCCCATGTTTTTCCTGATGAAAATGCATTCAAGGAACGTTTGGCTTGCCTTGAAATCGTCCATTGTCATCTCCTCAAAGTCAACCCGTCGTTCAAAGTTTGGAACTGGCTGCCCTTGGAAGTCAGGTGATGCCAACGCTCGGGACTGGCACACAGCAGCTCCAGCAGCAGGCCCGGTTTGGGCTGCCTCTCCAGCAACCCCCTTCACAGCTTCCAAGACATCCTTCTGACTGGAGATCATGTCATTCAGGGTCTTCAAAGATTGGGCATGGCTCGTGGTGTACTTGTTTTTCACCAAATCCGGAATCCTGGTTCAAAAGACCCATGGTTCTAAATGACTGCGATACCAGAGGGTGGAAACTCAATAGGCCCGGTTGTATTAAAAAATAAAAATAAACACATCAGAGATTCTTGCATTGTTGATCATCCCCAATGGTAAGCACTTCCAGTTGTGGAATTGGCTCGGAAAAGCTGCTGCGGGGACGACGTCGGGCCCCTGCTTCCGATGAAGAATCCCACCAGTTACTCATCAGCTTCCCAGCAACACTGCTTTCAAGGGCCCTAGACATTGAGCATTCATCCTCCAGGAAAATTCCCATGTAGGTCACACAGGGCCCAGTGTAGCTCTCTGTCGTCAGCTCTTCCAGTTGCATTTGGAGGCATGCGCTGGACCATTCTGCGAACCTCGCTGGGTTTGGCGAGGCTTGGACTTGTTGGGTGTCAGGGGTGGTGCCTCATCATTTTTTCTTAATCAAAAGATCTTGACATTCTTTTAACATAGGAACAAGTAGCCGATTGGGCATGCAGTCCACAATGAGCACAGGGTGGCGCTCATTCTGTGGAACTCCTTCCAGCAACTTGTTGATAATTTCCCTGGTGGCTGGGATTCCACGTTGCTGAACCTGGGTTGTGCGCGCACATGTTCACAATGTTTATTCTTAACTCTTGAGCAGATTCCACCCTTATATATGATTTATAGCCAAAAAACACGAAAGTGGGCAGCCAGTGGTTTGTCCTCATCAGGGTTTTGCAAGTCGCTCACGCGACTCCTGTCCACGGCCGTTATGCTGCCCAAAGCGGCCTTCGACTTGTTGAACTCGTTCACACGGTTGCCACTCAAACTGGCAAACAGGCCTCAGGTAAAGGTTTGTGTCAAATTTGTAAGTTACATGTTCTAAAATTCAAGGTGGATACTGGATGCTGCTCTTGCACAAAATATGAAGCTAAGCCACACTGTTGGGATGTTTTCCTTTTGTCTCCTTGGTGCGAACTCATGTTGTAGGCCAAGGCCACCTCGTGGACATCAAAGGTCCTTAGTTTAAAAAAGGTGAACTGAACGAAGTGAAATCATGTCATGCTTTTCCAACTGCGCATGCATGTTGAGTAAGAGCCACCAGCACTGGGAAAGAACATGAAAGAACTCTGTGGCATAGGATGTGCACATGACATTTCAATCCACAGAAAGCAGAAAAGTACGGAGCCAAGTGTCGCCACAGCTTTGTCTTCAATCAAACGACGGTGCTTGAAAACTGTTGTCAAGTTGACTGAGGAATGGGGCTGAGGAAGTAAGAAAAAGGTCACACTGCAAGCATTCCCGGAGCACACCGCTTGGCAAAGGGATACACTTTCGTCAATCGACAGTGCACCTCCGAGGCATGACAACAGCACACACCAGCACACTCTATTTGACATATTTTGACATTGAACACCTTCTAGAAGCCAAGTCACGTTGGGGCCACAAAGTGTTGTCGACCACCAGAATTGTCAGCCTTAATTAAAATCAAACGCGCACAGCAAAAAAAAGCAGAAACTGAAAGTCAACAAGTTTGCTGCGAGCAACGTGGATGGGCCAAGCTCAGCTTGTTTTTCCACGACATCCCCATGGGCCAACACGATGTTCTTGTGCTGCACTGTGCAATGCCGCTTTTGCATGAACTCACCCACCTTCGCTTTCCCATTCTCGTATCTGGTGCTCAAGTACTGCATGTCCAAGCCACCCTGACAGAACCATTGTTGCTTTTGTGTCATTTTTCTTTGGACCATGACCATGATTAATGCTATATATGACCTGGGACAGAAAGGATTGAAACCTACATCGGATACAGCTAAAGTTTGTCAGGATAGGCCTGCTGAGATGCGAATAGATGAAACGAAGCAGCCCATGTCCGCAGTTTGGACAAATCTTCCTCAATCTGGAGCTCAGTTTGGCTCCACGTAGTCGCAAGAAGTGCAGCATTCAGCCTAAGTAAGACAAACGAATCAACTGTTTTGATGTAGTGACACACTTGGCTGTGGGTTCATCTTACATTCTCCCATCAATGAAGTTGGGAGGCTCTGCGGCTTTGTTCATTTTGTGCTCCGCTTCCTGGAGGCACCACTGGGAACAAGAGTGGATGGAATGGGATGGGCACAATCCACGATTTTCACATGACAAAGATCCAATCCTGTTGGTGGTACTTTTCCAGGTGGGACTGGAACATAGATACCTTGTTGACATCCGCTGGTGGAACCGTGGCTTGGATCAGCGAAGTCAGTTCCGCATCTCCATGACGGTGCAGGAACCTGGTGGAACAAGAGATGTGAGTGGATGACATGTTGCATCATAAAAAAAAAATCCTTGTGGGTATTCTAGTCACATCACTTACAATGAGTAAAATGTCATGCTATATGAATACATATTATAAAACTATTAGTGTGAGAGTATTATATGATATAAATATATATATATAGTTTGGCTTTTAGTGGGATAGAAGATACCATGGTTTTGTAAACCCAAGAAACGTTGACATGATCTCCTTTTCCACCTTCTCGTTGAAGCTCGCGGGCACCAAATCTCTGAAGCGATTGCAGCATGCTTTGAAAGCACAGCACACACGCTGAAGGACTTCCTCAGCTGAATTGCTGATGTCAACAACTTGTGTTTGTCAACATATATTTTTGTTGGTTTCTCAAAGGAAGTCATTCAAGATGAGGTTCTAAATCCTTCAGCCCCCAGGGGCGTCGCATTTTGGGGCTCATGGACTCCCAGTCTTGCTGCATTCTCTGAAGAAGAAGTTGCAACACCTCTGGTGTGTTCTGCAAAAGATTCTCCCAAGCACTCACAGCTCCACTGTTGCTGGCACCATTGTAGGATGCATTGAAGACCCCATGGGCGATCCCATCGTGCAGCAAGAATTTCGGTTGTCCATGGATCCTAGTCAAGACTTGTTTGAAAATAAGACAAGTAAAATGGCAACATAAGCAAAATCGATTTCAACTGAATCATTTTTTGTGAGTAGCTGGCCTCACAAGCTCCTTGAGCCCTTCAACGATTGGGGGCGGGATGTGCTTCAGGAGGTTGGTACAGGCTTGAGCTTCCAGCTTCCCGATCTGGTAGGCTGATGCCAGCGCGGCTGCGTTGTCCAACGCCTGATGTTTTGTGATTGTTTTGAAATTCACTTGCAAGAAGAAACATATGTGGTCCTTTTCTGATCCAAAAAAATCTGAGCATGGAACTGTCAAGTTTGCCAGGGCCCCATCACTGCTAACACCAGTGGTCAGGATCATCTGACACTGATGCAGCAGATTGAAGCAGTTTGGCCTCCTTCTTATGGTGCTCAGGAGACTTACGCCTGCAAATGCAGAGTAATTAGATCTTATGCCCTATACATGGTGATTTCCTGGTGGTTGCCATGATTTTTCCTGAGCACTGAAAACATTCAAAGCTTTTCAAGCCTCGGTTCATCATAACCACCTCTGTGAGATCCGACTTCACCTTGTTGCAGTGCACCGTTGAGAATGTCCTCAGGTGCAATCAAATGAGAAGTTTGACTTACATATCTACTGACATATCATGAGAAGTTGATCCAAAAAGTTGAGAGATAAAGTTGAAGCCCAATTGCAAGAAGTCCGTTTGTTTTTCAAAGCAACTCTATAAATATGTTCCATACACCATGGTGATGTTGGTAAGCATAACGGCCACAATGAAATTCAACATTTTTGTTCAACTGAGGCAGCTGCATTTTCACTGAGTCGGGTATGTCCTGTGCAATGGCAAAATGTTGCTGTGAAAACGATTCAAAAAAACGATTCCTGTCTCATAAAATTGAACTTTGATGCATTGATTCGTGAAAATACAGCAGGCCTGAAGCATTTCTCTCAACTCAAATGTTGCCCTCATCACGGCAAGGGCGCAAATCGCCCGGTTCCATCCTTTCACAGTGAAGACAGTCTGGGGAGACAGCATGTCATTTCCAGCGAGTCCCAAGTCAGAACTGCTAATCCTCATTCGATTCTGCTCTGTGAGCCACTTCTCATTGACTTCTGCGATGACCATTTTTTCGACGCCAGGTTGGCTTGGATCGGTCTTGAAACCGTTCACCATCATCAACATGCACAAGGTCCTCTGGACTTCCTCAGCTGTGAGGCGCGGCATGCTGGCATGATTTAAATTGGTGGCTTCAGCTACTAACTGAAAACGAAAAGCTAGCCATGGAAGCTAGAAACATGGATGCAAACAATCATTTGTTAAGTCAATACCGATGTGCTGTATCCCCGGTTCCTCTGAGACCATAGTCGCATCTGTGCGGTAACATCCAAGGCCTGATGTAGTAGGCACCATCAGAGCTGCAGAATGCCGCTTCGGTTGCATAGGTCCTCACAGGTAAGGTGATTGAATCTCAGCAAGAACTATATGGTCACTTCAGACTGAGGAAACGGCAGACCAGTTTCCGGTGGAAATTCTTGCTCCAAGAACTTGTAGAATTCGACAGCTTTCTCCTGCAATTCAGAATGATATTTTTCGACTTGGCAGGTGGGTGAGAATGACACTTTTGGATTTGCCAGTCCTTTGTGTCCAGCTCCTTGGCAAGATACCGGTCCAGGGTGCCATGAGAACGAAACACTTCTGACCTCGCAAGATTTTTGTGAGTTCACACAATGGATGGTCAAGTTTCGATTTTGGCATGCAGCTTGAAACAAGAATCACAATCACAATACACCAAGTACAGTTAATATATGAATTTTAGCCAAAGTTCAACCATTCATCGAACAACTTGATGTGGGGCAAATTTCTCGAATCGGGTGGAATTGCCGGCAGTGCTTGGGCAGACTTCTGCGACTTGCTTCCCCCTTCTCCTCCTCCACTATTTTTGCGCTTGCCCCCCATCACAGGCACACCTGGCCAGATTTGGCAAGCACGGGGACTCAGAAGAATCTGGGCTGTGCGGGCTTCTACCCATAAGCAAATGGTACTACAGGATTTGTGCCGAGGTCTAATGAATGGATTTTGTGCCGAGGACAACCTCGAGAGAAATAGTTTGTGCCGAGAACAACCTTGAGAGAAATATTTTGTGCCGAGAAGCAGCTCATTCTAAGCACAAAACCTGATAGAAATGTGATCCTTTCGGCACAAAATCCTTCCCTGAAGGTCATCTCTGCAAAGTGCTTAATCATGTCAGTTCTAAGCACAAAGTCCTAGCGCACATTTCCTATTGTTTTTAAACCAAAAATTGGGATTTGAAAAGGAACCAAACTCAATTTGGCAACTGGCATTTGTGCTTAGAAACGTCCTTACTAAGCACAAACAGCACCCGCTCAGAAGCATCCATTTTGTTGGGAGAAACAACGCACAAAACGATGTTTGACAGAGTTCCCGGTTCTCTGGTTTCTTTTTTGCTCAAATCAACCCCAAGGTGGACAACGGTGCGAGGATTGACTCACATGCCTGATGGGATGTTTGATTGTTTTCTATGTTTTCTCAATGTTGTGACCACGCACAATCAAATAATTGAAATATTTCTTTGTTGGAACAATGGCTTTTGCACGTGAGGCACTCGATAAACCCCTGGAAACAGCCACTGCCTTGACAGGAGAACTTTTCTTTCAACAGCTGGGCTGATCTTCAGCGATGTCAGGATTCTCAGAGTTTTCACTTGGTGGCAGTCAAAGTTCCCCTGCATCCTTCATGGCAGTTTCAACTATGTTGATGGCTTTTCCTATTTCAACCCCTTGCGCCCACAACCTGGCTGCTGCTCTGTACAAAGCTTCGTGTGCCCTCGCTTGACGGTATCGGTTCAGTTCATGTCTCTGTGGTCGGTCGACCACCAGATTCATTCGATTTGGAACCTGGGACAAACCCCGGATTGAAATTTGATTGAAAACATCATGAAACTTTGAAACAGGATTCACAACTTCATACTTGATTTTTTTCCATTCAGCCCAGCCATGAGATACACTAATTCTGGGGGCAAGCAACTGCTTCCAAGTTCTGACCTACTGGCTGAGGCCGAGGGTGCACTCCGGGCCCGACTGCAGGACCACCACTGGGAAAACACCTGGGAGATAAACAACTTAGCTGTGCATCCAACAGCAGATACATAAGTGGGTGGATCCAATGCCCTCAAGGTTGACAGTTGAGGCTGCAACTTAAAGACTTCTAGCAAAGGATAGCGTCCCAAGACATTGTTCGCCAAGTCTAGGATGCAGTCAGCAGCTGAGTGCATGTCGAAAGGTGGTTGGCCTCGAAAGGTGATTGAAATTTGGGTCACTTGAAGACACAGGATTGAAATCAAATTGAGATCCCCACGCAAAATTGAAGCATATTTTCGCAACTTGTTGTTCTCTTCGCTGTTGATGTTTGGAGCTGGGCCAACATAGACTGGCAGCAAGCAGGTTGTTATTTAGTCTGATTTCTTGTTTTGTGCTTGGGACTGAATACTTGTTCTCAGTTCAACCACCACGCCTGGAGGAGGTGGTTTGAGCGATATCTCATTGGCAACGGAGGCAGGCAAATACCAAAAGATCTTGGGCTGGAAGCTTGCATCACTCATCCAACGCTTTGTCCTTTGACATCATGGGAATGTGTCAATCAAAATCACTGGCTTGGCATATGTATAAGACAACTGGCTTGGCATATGTATAAGAATCACTCCTGAGAATCACATCGGAATCAGAGTGCTGTACCCGTCGTCTCCGCCAAAATTTGGTATCCAACTCTTGGAAACTCAGTCCTGCCATCCAAAACTGAAGTTTGGGAGTGCTAGCTATCAAGTCAGTTGGCCATAGTTTATCAATGTTCAAAGGCTGTTTGCCATGTGGTCAGTCCTGTGTCCCTCAACCTTTCCAAGCGCAGCACATGGGGGGCCCCTGGTCCACCAATGCCTTTCAGGTGAACGTGGCCCATCAGCTCTCCAAAGTGAAGCTTCCTGAAACGCCAGGGGACCCAGAGTGGTGTGGCTGACCTTTAATATCATCTTCTTGGGGGAAAAACCAAAAAAGAAAAGACTATGACTTTGGTTGGAATATCTTCGACAATTTTTGTTATGCAGTCATGTATCCAGTCGTGAAACTGATCATAGACCAGAACCTCTCGCTTCGGTTCATTTACTCGTACTTGTTTGTTTGACAACATTGTAGTCAAACATTTTTTGTAGTCATCAATGCACCAAAGCTCGGGATAACGATCAAGCCAAGCGGATGTCACTGAGAAGTGGGCATCGATGTCTTCGTGACTATGTCCCGATTGCAAAAATGAAAGTTCAGCCCCCTTCAAGCGATGGCTGGCTATCATAGTGGCCATCATTCGTAAAGCAGTTTGGTGCTTTAGCTCTTTCGAACAATTATCCGCCTCCAAGTGGAGGAAGACATTGGGCCAGTGAACATAATTCAAAGTTTTTGTCATCATGTATGCAACCAGTTCCATTGTCCGAGATCCACTGGTAGGAACATTTTCAGGGGATAATCCAACAATCACTGCATGGCCATGGCTTATCAGTGTAGTAGCGGCCAATCTAGGTCGACTCCAGGTTGAAAATTCTTTCGAACCCATAGAGGCGCTTCGAGGATAGCAGTGTTTTGATTGGTCCATCCCGTCAACGATACAAGCTATATGGCTTATGGGGGCTCCTCCACAAGCTTGGCTTCTGGACAGAGATCGATGGCCCCAATACACCTGTCTATCCCTGTATTGTCGGGATAGGTGTCGTTTGTATTGTTGAATCTGGGCCAACCTTCCAGGACCTTGTGGGAGGCGCTTGATGATAAGCCTATGTCTCACACAAATCGCGCACCGAGCATGGTGCGATGTAGCTCGGATTCTGAGGCGGTCGTGGAAGTCTTGCATCCAGACCTCACAGGCCCAGGCGCTTGATAAATTTGGGAATGGCAAAATTCACAACTGATATTCAATAGTGTTTGTATTGGATTGTGTGCAATAGTGTTTGTCTTGGATCCCAGGCTGATGTGAACAGTTTCTTCGAAATCTTCTCTTGTGGAAATTCTGCAGTGCACAAGCGAAAGTAATCTGTGAACTTGCCTGGGGGTAGGTGGCGGATCTTTGACCTGTCCAAATTTTTCACATCATGCTTGAAACTTCCCTGACGCGGTCTTTTGTTGGAGGATGAATGTGCAGAGTCAGGAAGTACCTCACCAGCTGTAATGTACAGGTTGTACAAAAAGTCATACACCAAACTCCTTTTATGGCTCTGTTTCACTGGTCCTTTCGGGAGATACCGTCCATCCAGTGGAGCAACTTCTTGACCTTCACTTGCAGCTTTGTTCAAATTCCGGAATCTTCCCTTTCCAATTCCGAGGAGTCTTTGAAAACCACGGTTGCACACCGCATGGCCCAGGAGTGTCAAATGGCGAGTTCCCCGACAGGCCGGATCATGTCCTTTCAGCAAATTGAAAACCTGAGTTCACATGGTGTATGTTTTTGATTTTTGACATGATGATGCAGCTTCAGAAACACGAAGCTCAAAACAGTGCAAAAGTTTGTGCAAAGGTTTTGCTGAGGAACACACAAATTTGTCCTGCTCCACCTTGTCCAACATCCCCAAGGTTTTATGAACCTTCATCAACTTGTCAAGAGTTTCTACATTTCGAAAGGGGATGTAGCATTCACATAGGCAGCCGCAAGACCCATCGACTCTGTAACGCAAAGTTCTGAAATTCATCACTGTTTTGGGCATGACATTTTTCTTGTTCCTTCTAGTGGCAGGCATTCGCTTGGCATGCTTGGCTACTGGCCGAGTCATTGGTTTCACGTTCGGAACTGAATTCACAAGAGCGTCGTTTGTTGCAATGCAGTCATCATCACTCAAGGTATCCACATTGTGCAACATAGAGCTTTCGAAAGTACAGGCCAAAACCCAAGTAGAGATGCTGATGGCAGCTGCCACCCCGACCTAGGCGAATCAACATTTGGCTCCACGTCAAGGCCAGACTGTATAAACTGGGTGTCGTGCAAATATCTTTCCAGCAGCCAGTCTCATTGGGATACTTTCATGGCATTTGTTTGTAAACTCGGTATGATGTACTTGGCACTTTTTTGCACAGTGATAATCGAATTCACCAGCTGGTCTATCATATACATATATATATATATATGTGTAT